TCCCAGAACCTCCCCACCCCGAGCCCGGCCGGCCCCGTGGTCCCCGGCACTCTGCAGCTCAGGTCCCAAGACCCCGCACCCTCCTCAGCACCTCAGGAAGCCTCAGGTGGCCGCAAAGTAGCGGAGCCCTCAGTCCCCTGCCAGGCCTTGGTCAGCGTCAGGGACCTCCAGGCCACCCTCCGAAGGACAAGCTCCACCCCCAGCCCCTTGGACAGTGCAACCAGAGACCCTGCTACCTCTGTCCCAGCCCTTGGGGCCCCCCAGCCCCCCCAGACCATGGAGAGGGAACCCTGACCGGCCCCCAAGACTCTGGGGAGGAGGAGCGGCACTCTGGGCCCCCTGCCCCTCAGGGGCCCGTCGGTGTGTCCCAGAACCTCCCCACCCCGAGCCCGGCCGGCCCCGTGGTCCCCGGCACTCTGCAGCTCAGGTCCCAAGACCCCGCACCCTCCTCAGCACCTCAGGAAGCCTCAGGTGGCCGCAAAGTAGCGGAGCCCTCAGTCCCCTGCCAGGCCTTGGTCAGCGTCAGGGACCTCCAGGCCACCCTCCGAAGGACAAGCTCCACCCCCAGCCCCTTGGACAGTGCAACCAGAGACCCTGCTACCTCTGTCCCAGCCCTTGGGGCCCCCCAGCCCCCCCAGACCATGGAGAGGGAGAAGAGCCCAGAGCCCATGGGGCTCCCACAGAACCAGAGTGCCCAGGCCCTGCAGCTGCCTCTAGTGCCCAACAGCTCTGTCCATGGAGGGCCGGCATCCCTAGGCTCCCAGTGAGTCAGTCCCTGGCCAGGGCTACTGGTGGGGGTGAGGGCAGGTGGGCCCGCGGCTCCTCACTCCTGTCTCCCTCTTGGTTCCCAGGTAGCTGCCTGGTTCCAGTGATGGCAGCCAAACCTGTGCGCAGATCCTGCCCGGGCGGGGTCAGGGTGGGTCCCGTGGTGGCCTGTTGCCCCATCAACCCATCCTGTCTCCACCCCCACCCCATGTTCTCTCCTCTGGACTCCCAGGAGGCTGGTGCCAGGGAGACAGGCCCCACCCACCCCCATTTGCACTGAGAAAAAAAAAGATGGAGTTTTATCTCCTTGAATAAAGTATAGAGTCAAGTAGAAAGAAAGGAGAAAAGATTGAGAGAGAGAGACCTATATTCTATATTATATGTATGTCCAGGGAGGAGAGGGTGGGAGAGCCAGACGGAACCAGGCCTGGGCAGGTGGGGGGGGGACCTTCATCCCTTCCCAGCGGGGCTGTGTTGGGGTCCCCGAGGCACTGTCTCCCCCTCCCCAGCTGCCGTGCCCCCCGTGGTTCAGATGCCCACACCCACACTCGGCCTTTTAGCTCAGGTCCACCTAGGGGGTCTGAGTGGGGCCATGCCTTCGCCCAGCCCTTACGCCCCAGGCCTGCACTTTCCCTGGGCCGGGAGCTCAAGGACCCTCGCCTGGCCCGCGGCTCTGGGGGCTGGGGTCCCGGCCAAGACGCCTCTCCCGTGACATTCCCACAAGGCCCTGACAACACTCACGAAACCCCTGCGCCTCCCACAGGCCCTGGGCAGGGGTTTGGTGGGGGTCCAGCTGGGGTCCCCCTCCAGTGCCTGGAGGTCTGGGGTCCAGCCCAGTTGCCAAGTGACCTTGACTCAGCTCCCTCTTTGGCCACATGAGTGTGGGTGCCCAGCTGTTTCATACTGCAAATACGAATGAATAAAGGAGACAGTTTAAGAAAAAAAAAAGATAGACTTGCATATATGCCATAGTTTTTCTTTTTCTTTTGAGTGCATCTGATCTTCATTCTCTTTTGCCAACACAGACCTTCAGCCCCTCCCCTTTTGTGTTTTTATTGTTGCAAATTATCCCTGCTTATGCTGTAAGTTTTTTGATGATCTTACTCATAGTGTCGTGACCTTATGTTCTTTGTTTCTGGTAGAATAACTCCCTTGTGTATTTCCTGCAATGGAGGTTTTCTGGTGATAAACTCTCTCAGCTCCTGTATGTCTGGGAATGTTTTTTATTTCTCCTTCATATTTAGTGAATAATTTTGCTGGATATAGTATTCGTGGCTGGTAATGTCTCTCTTTCAGATGTATGAATATTTGGTTCCACTCTCTTCTGGCTTGTAGAGGTCTTGCTGAGAAGTTGGATGAAATTCTGATGGGTTTTCCTCTGTAGGTCACTTCCTTCTTTTCCTTGCCTGCTTTGAGAAATTTTTCTTTGCCATTAATTTTTGACAGCTTTAATACCAAGTGCCTTGGAGAGGGCCTCTTTGGATTGAGGTAAGTAGGTGTTGTATATCATTCTTTCCATACGTTTGGGAAGTTCTCATCCACTATTTGTTCGAATAGACTCTACATTCCATGCTCCCTCTCCTTCTCTTCTGCAATATCTATAATTCAAATATTGCTTTTTCTGATGGAGTCAGGTAGTTCTTTTAGAGCTCTTTTATTATTTTTCTTTATACTCAGGTCTCTTCTTCCTTCTGCATCATTTCTATATTCCTATCTTCGATATCACTCATTCTTTCCTTTATCTGGTTGTCTGTTTTCTATGCTCAATAGTTCACTCTTAAATAGAAAGAGAGAGAGAGAGAAAGAGAGAGAGAGAGAGAGAGAGAGAGAGAGAGAGAGAGAATGAATCATCAATCAGCTGCCTCCTGTACCACCCACACTGAGGACTGAGCACATGTGCCTCATCTGGGAATCGAACTGTGACCTCCTGGTTCACAGGTCAATACTCAACCACTGAAACACACACTTCAGGCCAGTTCACTCTTAATATCCTTAATTTCACATTTCATTTCTAGGATTTCTGATTTGTTCTTTTTTAAAGTTTCAATTTCTTCTGTAAAGTACTCATTTGGTACATTTGTTTTCTGAGTGCAATGTATTGCCTATCTGTATTTTCTCATACCTCTTTGAGTATTTTCAGATATGCAATCTTGAAATGTCATTTATGTCACGTATTTCCATGTGCTCCAGCTTGCCTTCTGGTGATTTTTCATTTTCATTCTGGTCATCCTCATTACTGTGCTTATCCATGTTATTTGCTGTCCTCCTTTGTCTGAGCATTTATCTCTGAAGAGGTCTTTCTACTATTTTCCAGTGGATGGCACTGATTCGCAAGATTTTTTTTACCTCTGTAATCTCCCTGTCTTGAATCTCCCTGGCTTCCATAAGAGTACAATAGCGCTCCTTGGGAGTGGAGTTTGTTTTGTTCCCCACCATAATGGCAATTTTTTTTTTTAAATTAAATCTTTATTGTTCAGGTTCATAATTTTATCTTAACCTTTTTCTTCTTCTTCCTCTTCTTAAAGGATACCTTTCAGCATTTCGTATAATACTGGTTTGGTAGTGATAAACACCTTTAGCTTTTTCTTATCTGTGAAGCTCTTTATCTGACCTTCAATTCTGAATGATAGCTTTGCTGGGTAAAGCAATCTTGGTTGTAGGTTCTTGGTATTCATCACCATAATGGCCATTTTTGACCTTTGAGGGGTTCCACCCTAAGGTCCCTCTTGGGCAGGGGTCTTCAAACTACAGCCCGCGGGCCACATGCAAATACAAATATTGAATTTGTTCCCATTTTGTTTTTTTACTTCAAAGTAAGATATGTGTTGTGTGCATAGGAATTTGTTCATAGTTTTTTTTAAACTATAGTCCGGCCCTCTGAGAGACAGTGAACTGGCCCCCTGTTTAAAAAGTTTGAGAACCCCTGCTCTTGGGGCTCAGTCAAAGGGAAATACAGACATTCCTTGGGTTATGACGTACATCATTTCGTGGTTGTCGCCATTTCCCATTTATAAAAAAAAAAAGTTCTGTCATTTCGGCGTATGTACATGTGCTTTATGTTTTTTATTATTTATTTACAAGTAAAGATCAGAATTGTTATCTTTCTTTTAAATTTTTTTTACTGTTTCACTTCATTACTGCTGTGTATGTACTCATGAGTGACATAGGTCCTTATGTAGGTGGGTTCCGACTTACGGCGAAAATAGCGTTAGGCTGCGCTGTAGAAACGGATCTCTGACGTAACCTGAGGACCCACTGTAGTGGTTCTACTGCAACAGCTCTTGATTTACAGATATGCTCAGGAACCCAACTCAAATGACAATGGGTGGTGAGTTTTGGGAGTCCTAGCGGCCAAAGGGCTCTGTGGTTCCATTTCTTTGTCTGAAATACCACGCGAGGCCTGACAGTGGAAAGCTGCAGCACAGAACACTGTGCTATGTCAGGCATCTTGACTCAGACACTGTCTGCTCTCTCACCACTCACCTTGCTAGACTGTCCCTCTCCCCCTCCCCTAGAGCTCTCTGTCCCTTCATGCTGAAGGAGGTACCTGCTACCACTGGCTTTCTACCCCCTCCCAATTGCCCCAGTTGCCAGTTCCCAGCTGCAGAGCTGCATCTGCACGTTCCTTCTGATCCCCTCATTTATTCCTGGTTGTCCTCCTTTAGGTATTTCAATGCATATGTCTCTCAGGCATGCGGCTGTGTTGAGCAGGATTACTTTGTTGAGTTATAATTGGTTAACTTGTTGAAATTTCAGAGGGAGAGGATAAGGATCTGTCTCACACTGCCATTCCTCTGATGTCACTATGTGCATATTTTTAAAACATGAAATAACTTATTTTTTAGTCATGGGCATGAACCTCTTTTCCCTTAGATTGTCAAATGAAAAATAATGACAATAGCCAACACAATAGCCATCCAGAGCGAATGAATCAAAATTACACCTATTTTTTTTTTTTTGCTTGACTGGCTAAAAATGTATTTTTGGTGTACTGCAGAATTTTAAATTAACTTATGTGTGCCATAAGACAAACAAAATCACTGTTGTAAATTGCTTTTTAAAAAATTATTGGTATTAGAGAGAGAGAAGGGAGAAACACTGATTTGTGGTTCCACCTATCCAAGCAGTCATTGGTTGATTCCTGAATGTGCCCTGACCAGGGATCAAACCCGCAACCTTGGTGTATCAGAACAATGCTCCAACCAACTGAGCTATCCGGCCAGGGCAATAGATTGCTTAATTTTTAAAAATTTTTACCTCTGTTGGTAATACACTCAATAATCCTCTATGCCTCAATTTTGGCTAAGTCATATTCATTGTTGAAAACCAAGTTTAGATCTTATCTACCCAGTAGGTGTTTGCTACCATCATTCTGTGCGATATGTAATACCCTGGGCCTGTCTCTCTATTACAACATTCAAAACATTGCACTATAGTTAATTACTTGATAACCGTTGTCAGTCCAAATTCTAAACACAAAAAACTATGTACAGAAGTTTGGGAGAAAGAAGATGGCGGCGATATAGGCAGA